GAAGTGTCCGACATCGGGCGGCGAAGCCAAAGGTCTGAATGAAGGTAGCGAATCGCCAAAAGTATGCCCGGTGCCCGCTGAGCCCATACAAAGACTTCGTAACAAGCGACATGGTCGGTCAAAAAATACCGATCGACGAATCCGTGGGTCGCTAGCGATAAACAATCTCATTCAGATGACCATGAAGGCGTTCTTAACATCCAACTGATGAATTGGCCAGGCACGAGACGCAGCAATGCTGAGAACAACCCGAATCGTTCTTTGGCTTAACAACCGGATCGAAAGTCTCTTCGTAGTCGATGCCATACTTCTGAGAAAATCCTCGAACAACCCACCGAGCTTTGTGACGAGCAAGAGAGCCATCAGAGTGATACTTATGCATGAAGATCCACTTGCCGGAGACAATGTTGGCACGAGGAGGCCGTGGTACGAGTCGCCAAGTGCCATTGTCAACAAGTGCCTTGTATTCGTCCACCATTGTAGCCCGCCAATTTGGATCAGCAAAGGCGCTGCGATAATTGGCCGGAAGCGGTGAGGCATGCGTGGCGGAGTAAGTCAGGCGTTCCAGCGGAGGCGGGAGCATTCTAGTCTGTTGTCGTGTCACACGGCGCAATGGAGCAGCAGGGACCGGCTCAGGTGCGTGAGCCGGCTGAGGCGCCGGTGGAGGAGGCGTGACCTGTGGAGGAGGCGTGACCTGTGCCTGGGGCACAGATGACGGTCGAGGACGCCATTGTATCTTTGGAAGAGCACCGCGGACGTGATGCATCGAGAGTTTGGCAGACGTGCTACTCCTCGAAAGCAAAGCGGTGACGTCTTCTTCTCCTCGAGCGGCAGCAGAGAGAGACGCCAGGGCTGCCGGTGGGGCAAAGCGTGATTTAAAAGGACCGGACCGTGCCAGAGGATGGCCGGGTCCAGTGCCAGGGTGTCGTCGTCGTCGAAGGTCGGCCGAGTAGAGAGCCGGCTCGGAGCGCCAGCAGGAGGAGCTGGCATGGCACAGGTGCAGGAAGACGATCCTGTAATAAAAAATCAAGTGACTCCGTAGGTGGTTTGGCAACCGCAAACGGAAAGTGAGTCTCATCAAAAATCACGTGACGAGAGACGATGACTTTGCGAGTGGAGAGATCGAGACAACGATAACCCTTTTGTGAAGAGGGATACCCGATGAAGACGCAAGCTGATGAGCGAGGAGCCAATTTATGAGGTGTCGTGGCACTAAGATTTGGGTAGCATAAGCAACCAAAGACTCGAAGCAAGTAGTAGTCAGGCATCTTGTGATAAAGGAGGTGATAGGGAATACCATTATTGATGGAGGAAGACGGGCGCCGATTGAGTAGAAGAACGGCGGTGGCTAAGGCTTCGGCCCAGTAAGCTGAAGGCATGGCGGCATGAATCAAGAGGGTGCGAACGATATTGTTTAGCGTGCGCAATATCCGTTCAGCTTTCCCATTTTGAGCAGACGTGTAAGGGCAAGAAGTGCGAAGAAGAATGCCGCGGCTAGCAAGGAAGGTAGACGTGGCATTGTTGATGAACTCAAGTCTGTTAATCCGCCGAAAACACCGGATGAGCAGGTGCTGAATTGGGTGTAAGCATAACTAGTAAAATCGACAATATGTGCATGAACCTCTGATTTATGCCGAAGAGGAAACGTCCAACAATAATGACTATAATCATCAACAAGCACAAGATAATATTTAAATCCGACATCGCTAAGAACCGGAGATGTCCGGACATCACAATGAACAAGTTGAAAAGGTGCTTTGCAAATGAGACGATGAACTAGTAAAGGCGCACCGTGTGTTTGCCAAGTTGACAGGCGTGACAAATACCACGGGCTGCATTATTACAAGAGATAGCTGAAAGTTTATTAAGTGTAGCTATGGCTACAGGTGCTCGATGACCAAGACGTGAATGCCACAATGAGGAGATGGCGGCGACATGACAGGCTGCAGCAGGTTGACTGGAATGTGGAAGGGTCTAGAGCTCCCCGCCACTATTGCAACGCAGAATCTCGGTCTTGGTCTGCAGATCCTTAATAGAGAAGCCAAAAGCATCAAACTCAATGGAGCAGTTATTGTCGCGAGTAAACTGACGAACAGATAACAAATTCCGAACAAGATGTGGAGCGACAAGAACATTATTGAGTTGAAAAGTATGATCAGCGTATGATCAGCTATAGGAAGAATGGAAGTGCCACGACTAGAAATTGGAATGGAGGACCCATTGCCGACTGTGATGAAGGAAGGCGAATAAGGTAGATGGGAAAGAAGTATACCGTCGTGGGGGGGACATATGAGATGTAGCTCCTGTGTCGAGGACCCAGGGGCTGGCGCCTCCCTGCAGTGCCATATGGTTGAGGGAGGCAATGAGAGCGCCCTGATCCCAGCCACCGGACGTAGAAGGCGGTGCGAAGGACGTGTGGGCCTGCGGCAGAGGTGCCATTGGAGGACGCCATCGCACTGCGGTGAGAGCCTCGAAGAAGACCAGCCCACGGGTTCATGCGCACCCAAGGACCCGGTCGGTGGACGCCGGATCGGGATGCCACCGCCGCCCGCCCGGACACACCGCTGTGGTCTTGGTGGTGGCCGGCCACCACCGCGCTTGTTGCCTCCACGCGCAGCATAGCCGCCGCCTTGCCCTTGCCCTTGCCCCTTGCCCCTTGCCGCCTCCTCCACGCCACACCATAGCCGCCGCCGTTGGGGTTGGTGCTTGGGAGGACGAGGAGCGGCAGAAGGGAGTGTAGGCCGTGGTCGTCAAGTCGTGGACGGGGCGACGGCAGTAAGGGCGGTGTCGGAGGAGACCTTGGCGTCGTTGGCGAGGCGGAGCTCCTTGAGCCGAAGGGTATTGTGGGCGGAGATGAACAATGGAAGAACCGCCGCATTGGCGATGATGTCCACCGTGTTGGCGGGCGCGGATTTGGCCGCGAAGAAGGTTGAGGACCACCGGGGCTCGAGAGGCGGTGTAATAGCGTCGCCGCAGAGCGCGCCGGTGTGTGCTTCATCGCGCCCGGGCGAGGCGTCGATGGACAAATCACCACGGTCATAGAGTGGAACTTTGACCTAGGATTTACACGCGCGTGTCTCTGGTTTGCCTAAAACAGTTGGTAATGGCAACAAAGAGATCACGGGCGATCGCTTTCGGTTCCATGGCGAGGTCGAGGACGCCGCCGTCGATGCGACCATACATCAACTCCGGACGCAAGCATCCGGTCGTGACCATGTGCGATCGATGGGGCGTCTTAGGGATGGAGCCGTCGATGTGACCAAGTAGGTTTAACTTGCCGCATATAGCGTGTGAAGAAGCGGAACCACTTGGTGTAGTTCGGCGCCTTGAGATCAAGGGTGATCGGCACGCGTCTTTGGCGCACGCGTTGATGGTCGCGTAGAGAGAAGATCACAGAGGCGGGGCGTCTGTCATGGCTTGGGGCATGGATGGTGATCCGGACATCCGGAGGTCGAATCGAGGAGGATCCATTGGTGGCCATAACGGGGGGGGGGGCGCAAGGCCGGTGGTGGTAGGGGGGCGGCGCCGGGAGAGGTAGGGCTAGGGCAGCGGAAGAGAGGAAACCCTAATTGGCCCGGTCTATGATACCATGTAGAGAGATAATACACCGCACGCCCACTAAGGGGGGGTGGCCTTTCATATATATAGCCGAGAAGGCTTGGAGTACAAGTAATATGAAGTACAATACAAGTCAGGCTATACAAATCTATTTATACCTCTAATAGTTCAGTTACTACCACATTGGGGTAATAAAGCTCAAAGCCTCAAAGCAGTCAGTTTACATTGGACCCTTTTTTTTGAAAGATCTACATTGGGCCATTTTGGAAAGCAAAAAAGTCACATGACAACCCAGGTATGACAGTCGCGTACTTGCAATTATATTCATATTTATATTTATAAAATCATGATATACAAGTATCAATGTATGATGGGCTATAGCAGCTAGCTCATGAACAATAAGTTTGCCTCAAAATTTGCAGTATCGTAAGCTTATATCAAATTTGTTAATTGGACAAAACTTCATTTATTATAATAGTGGCACAATATTCCATGAATTCCCTTTTCCAAATCTATATTGAGTTCTTCCTGCTAGAAGTTGTTAGATGATAGATGCTTACGCTGTGTTGGAGTTTCAATATGTAAACAGCGCTGATGTAATCTAACAAACTAGATATAACAAACTATCTTCTTTTTAATGCAATGACACACAGTTCTCCATGTTCAGAAAAAAAAATATTGAGTTCTGCCTGCCAATGCATCATGTTGCTCAGATATGTGGTAAGCATTTTGTAAAACATGAAATTTGATAATCATGTTTAGAATCATAGCATTGTATTCAGTCAGATAGCATCTTCCTGTTAAGCCATTTTCCTGTGTCAAAAGTAAACTTGTAACATGAGCTACTAACTTGTGCTAGATACCCTTTCTAGAATCAACTAACTACATCTGGTTCCAAATGTATGTCGTTTAGGACATCGATACGGTCTCCAATATGACACTTTGCTTGCAATTTTTATGAAAGTATATGTTTTACATAGTGAAAATTGTATAGTATGAAAGTATTTTCCATGAGCAATCTAGTAACATCAACTGTGTTGTCAACCTATGCTGCTCTTTATATATTGATGGTCCAAGTAAAGAAGTTTGACCAATTAGAATCCTAAAACGACCTACATTTGGGGCCGGACAAGTAAGTCTATCCCACAACTCATGTAAAAGCATAAGCTGGTCTTTGGAGGCCTCATTAAGAAATGTTTGGCATCAATGCTAGAAGATTAAATTATCTCAAAATGTGGTAGAAGTTCCAAAACTCCCAGGTCTTGAGTGTTCCATGTTGATACATATGCCAAAGGTGAACTAAATCCAGTCTACATGTATAAACTCATGACTACATCACTGAATTCGATATGAGCAACTGAATTTATTAAGCCCATTATTACTTCTCAAGTCTCAACAACATTAAAAAACCAATGCTTTTAGCAAGCAAAGGAGAACAGTGCTTACATGATGTAAAAGTTCATTATAGGTGAGGACAGCAATGATTCAGGCTGGAGACATCTGATGTCATCAGAAGAAATCTCAACAGAACTAAGGTGTTCCCTGTGAATACGGCAGAAATAAAATGGCGATGAACTGTGTGTCAAAAGAAGATCAAAGAATCTAGATTAACTGCAAACCTTGAAGGATAGTATAGCTTCTCTGCATCCCTGAAAAAATGGTGTTCCAACATTAGACAATAACATAAGATACTAGCGCAAAACATAAGAAGAGTTGCAGATGCCAAGATATCAACCAGCCGTCTAAGTATGCATAGTTAATAGCCGTCTAATTATGACATAAGCAAAATGACTAACTGTATCTGAACATTTACCAGTTATTATTGGATGTTTCCTGAGCAGATTCTAGATGGGGTGTATCTCCATCCAAAAGAACAACCTCTTCCTGAATCACAATACAGAAATGAGATAACACTTTGTGGGAGGAGTAATCTAATAAATAACAGTGCGAGAAAAGCGTTTATCTAACAGTGCCTGGAAGTTCACATGTGAAGATCTCTACTTACAGTCACAGACCATAGGAATAACACTCCAGCAAAAACAAAAAAAGGGTAGAAGTAAAGCATTTTACCATATAGGATAGCACAGGTTGTAACTTCAAACTAAGGTTGTGTTTGGTTTAGGGACAAAGTGGGGCAATGATCCTATCCCTATTTTTTGTGATGGGATCATCCCAGCTCGTGCTTGGTTGGAGGAATAAGTCCATTCCAGTTTTTTTTTTTTTGTATGAAGGATTAGGTGGGATGGGATGGATGGGGTTTTAACACCATTAGCTAGTAATCTGTGGACCCCACCTGTCATTCTCTCTAAGCCTACTCTTAGTGTCTTCTTCCTTTTCAGCTGAGCACCGGCCACTGCAATTCTCGTGCAGAGAAGGCACCACTGCCAGAGATGTTCGACCTGCCCAAGATCTCACACCGAGATCTCACACCGCCGCAAAGAATATAGCACTGCTGTCAGAGATCTCACGTGGCCGGAGGTCACCCCAGCGGAGATCTTGTGCAGCCGGAGGAGGTCGTTGGGCCTGCTCCGCCATGCGCTGGAGCTTCGTCCTGCTCCCTCGCCATCGATCCTTGAGCTTCTCCCACCCGTTGGCGCTCGCCCAAGTGCTCCGCATCTTCTCTGCCCCTCTCCTCTGCTTGCCTCGAGCTCGGAGCTCCGCCAGGCCAGCACCTCACGAGTTGACCATGCTTCCCCCCGCTGTCGCTAGCCATGCCACCTGGTTCTTCCTGGTAGCCGTGCTCGCACCTGGCCGCACAGAGAGTGCGCGTCACGCCGGCTGTGAGGGATGGCTTCGTCCACCCAATTTGAGAGAACCGAGCTGCCCCACATCTAGAAAAAGATATACCTTTCCAGGGATGAATCCGTCCCTAGCCCCTCCTAACCAAACACCGATGAAAAGGGGATTGCCCTGTCCCATCCCCGGACATCCGCAGAACCAAACTGTGCCTAAATTTCATCTTAACCGTAGCAAATATAAGATTCAAGAAAATATTTTCTCTACTGATACTCCTAAGTCCTAAGGATTCTGATAATGACATTCAAAATGTTCAGGTTCCTACGAATCGAAAAATACTAATCACAGATTTCCAGTTCAAAAAGGATGTTTGTGTTTTATTGAGTCTGGTCTTTAAGATACATCTTAGACTGCTGATTTATTATCTGGAAATGCTGACCCATTACAAATTTGTAAAGTTAATTTTGTGCTCATGGGCAGTGACACACAATATCTAGACTACTAAAATTGCTTGTAGATGTCTCCTCCAAGAAGTTTCTGCATGGAGCCCTAGTGTAATCCCATTGAAATGACATTAGCATCCTAAATGGCGTCTTTTTTTTTCTCGAAGACGCAGGAGAGCTGTGTATCATTATATTAAGAAGAAAAAAGGGTCAACAAAACCACAAACAAACATAAACACTAACACCCACACACACACACACACACACCACCACTCTATTGTTTTGTGGTTACAAGCGCGCCTTTAGGACTGAAACAAGCGACCGACACACCCAGACGCCAACCTACTACTCTTCATGAGCCAGACCAGTCAAAGAAGAGAGGCTTCCTGCGCCTGCTATCTCCCAAAGACACCGTTCATCACTAGTGACGCTGAGAGCTCTTGACATGCTAGGAGTCGCTCCATCGAATACACAAGCACTGCGATGTGTCTAAATGGCATCTTTGCCACATAGTACATGTAAATCCAGCAGCTTCTAAATATGCATTTGGCCACATGAGATGGTTTGGACATGTAGACCTTCAGATGCATGCCTCCAAGTCAGCTTCAAGGCAATAAAAGGAGACTTGAAAGGATGGAATATACCCAAGGGCATTGAAAAAGACTTAGCCTTAGTGCTTGGAAGACAGCTATTCACGTGCCTGAACCTTGATTGTTTCTGTTGGGTTTCAACTCTAGCCTACCCCAACTTGTTTGGGACTTAAAGGCTTTGTTGTTGTTGTTGTTGTTGTTGTTGCAGTAGTGGTACCCCACTCCACCCTTATCCAATTTTCCCCTGTGGCTGGGATGCCTATTTCTTTGAAATCACTAGATAAATGCTCTACACAAGTGCTTAGCTGGCAGCTATGGCGCATTACTTATAAACATTGTTGGAATGATTTCCAAGCTGACTTTTTTCCATATCTCATTTTTTTTAATACATAGCCCTTTGTTTGGGGAGATAAGTGACTTATAAATCAAGTAGACTGGTGTTTACAATTTTCCACTAGCAGTATCTGGTGCAGATGGCTGCTGGATCTTAATGAAGCTATTTATTTGATGTTCATAGCATTCTTTTTTGTGTTCCCTACATGGGTTCACATTCAAATGTAGCAGATTCCACACTCGAAAATATGCAGTGCATCGAAAAGCTTCATGAAAAATATGTAATACATGAGTGCAGTACACCATATGCTACATTATAAATTGAAGAGAATACGCAAAATTTCTGACAATGCATGTGTGTGATGCAGTGCGTACAGTACTCATGTTACTACATCCATGATTTTCAAAAATAAAAATTGTTACTGCACCCAGGAATAGTTCTTACAAGATAATAAGTTATAAATGCAAGGTTTTTCTCCTAATCTTACTACCATCTTGCAGGATATTAGCGATGAGACGCTGTTATGGTGTATGTCATGAGCCAAAGGGCTCCATAGCATATATGCATGATTGTTCGCTCATGGTCACTAGTTGTGTTTAAGGTTTTGTTGGCAAGCCCCTTTTTGTAACTTCTTTGCCCCTATAGGGGTTGTAAGAGTCATCTAGACTCCTTTTCTTCTTAATATAATGATGTGCAGTTCTCCTACATGTTCAAGAAAAAATACATGCAGTGCACCATATGTATCTGTGGGTAGCTACCAATATGGGAAGTAGCATATTACAAGGAAGATTCATAATACAGTCAACTACTTGTCTTTTTTAGTTCTTTCAACTAAGGATGAATTCAAGACTTTAGGTATGCGCTTCACAACTACAGGTATTACATTTAACTAAAAGACTTTCATGGCCAAACTAAATAGTTGTACACAAACATATGATCATATACTGAACATATTAACAAGCACATACAAACTTGAAATTTATTCAGACAGAAGGGTGATATCAAATGTACACTAAACACCAATGCTGCCTAAGCTCACAACACAAAATTTGCTCACATCTCACCACTATGTTTATTGCTTTTAGTGCAAAGGCATATCAATATTTCTTACTTTCCAGTGGCCATCAAATTAGGGGGTGTTTGGCATGGCTCCTCCTGAGGGGCTCCTCCCGAGGAGACAGAGCCGTTTTGGAGGAGCCACAATTTGTGGCTTCTCCAAAATGGCTCCGGCTCCTCTGCCTTTAACTGAAAAACGGCTCCTCCAGGAAAACGTTTGGTAGGGCTCATCTGGAGGAGCCAGAGCCGGAGCCGGAGAGGAGCCCTGCCAAACAGGCCCTTAAAAGATCACCACCGAAGAAACATGCATGATGGTTGATGGCTTTGATGATATAGAATGCTTAGTGCTTTAAAGTTGAAGGGTCTAGGTCCATAAGCGAATATGTGACATGAACACCTATGAATCAGTATTTCATTACCCACAGTTCGAAAATATAGTAATCTAGTAATCATTTCCACATTATCGATGAGCTTGAGGCAAACACAAACAAAACAACTTTCCTTTTCCATGTCCAAAAACTAAAATGCTTGAGGCTCTACCAATTATAGTAATCAAATTAAACAATCCAGCATAAATGCTACATAAATATAGCAGTCTGGGTGTGTGTGTGTTTGGGTCTCTGTATGACTCATTTCTCTACTATTAATATAATGATACGCAGTTCTCCTGCGTATTTGAGGAAAAAAAAATATAGCAGTCTGGTCTCTGGTGGTAAAAAAACAAGCAATGCACAAAATCATGATGGCAAGAATGTCAAAAGTCCATACTGACCTTTCTTGATCTCAGTCGCATTGAAAAGTTAACTGGATAAGCTCCTTTCCTAATAAAAGTCAGTTAGATTACTCATGCAACAACAAAATCCGCATGATAAAAACAAATTACAGCAGCTAATCTACTCCTATAGACATGCATGAGAAGTGGTCATGTAGAAATAATTGTACTGTAACATCTCCATTAATCAGTGCAGATACAACTGCATAGCAAGACATGCTATCATCATGGTCCCCATATTCTATTGTCCTTTCCAGCACATGATAGATTAGCACAATTTATCATATGCGATTGCCAACCTAAGGCTAGCTCAGCCATCCGACACTCTCAAGTAGACAAGTACATGTTAAAAAACTAGAATGACAAGTGTATACCTCAAAATTGCATTTTGGAAGTCTTATTAGATTATTTCCAAGTTTTTTTTTTGGCACGGGGGAACGGTGAAAAAGAAATATCATCTTGTTAAATGGGCCAAAATAACAAAACTCAAAGAGAGAGGTGGCTTAGGAATTAAGGAGAAAGGGGGCTTAGGAATTAAGGACCTGAGGAAATTAAATATTAGTCTTCTCTGCAAATGGTGGTGGAATGTGGAAAACGGGAGTGGAATTTGGCAGGAGATTGTGAAGATGAAATATATGAAGAATGGTGGTATAGCACACATCAGCAAAGGCAGCAACAATTCACCTGTGTGCAATGATTTGCTGAAAGTGAGACATATTTACCTAAGTAGGAGATCAATGTTAGTGGGAAATGGAAAAGACACTAGTTTCTAGCACGATAAGTGGTGTGGACATGTATCCCTCAAGGATAATTTCCCGCAGTTGTTTGAGATTAACAAAGAGCAATTTTGGTCAGTGGCTACTATGAAAAATAGGAATTGGCGTCTTACTTTTAGGAGATGGCTTCATGAGGATCTCCAAAGCCAGCTAAGGAGACTACAGGACATTCTGTATATATGTAGTGTTAATGATGAACCGTGGTGGAAAAAAATTATTTTTTGAACAGTGGTCCCCCTCCAATGATTTTCCAGAAGTGAGCATTAACTTAAAACTTAATATTTTCACATGGTCTAGCACCTATCCAAAGTCCAAACTGAATGCAACAATAGTTCAGAAAAATGAATGAATTGGTCGGTGGACCAAGTTCACAGAAAAAAAAATATGAAAAAGCTGGGAGAGCAATTATATGTCATTCAATGACCTACAGTGTGTATTTTGTTTTTTATTAAAAAATGTAAATAACACACTACCAAGCATCCTTGGTTAAATGGAAAGTCTTCTGAATAATCTGAAACTAAAGGAGAAGAGAAGGGTTCAATTAAAATTTACACCCCTAACTATTACAAATTCATGTAACTTTGGTTATTCATATGTGCAATATAATTAACAATTAATTGTATAGTTGCAGAACATATATTTTATATTTCATTTATCTAAATATGCAAAAAAAATAACTAAACCAATTATATTCCTTGATTACTTCTAGTTAAATTTGAAAACGTGCTTCTTGGTTCCACTAGTCAGACCTATTTATAGTTACTGAAAAAGTATAAATAAGGTACAGTACAGCATCTTGCATTTTCTTTATAAACAATCAGGTGGGAAGCCTGAAGACTTGTCTTATCATAATATCATCATCAGCAATAAAGCGAATATGCAGATTTTTTTTTTACTATGCAATGTTACTTAATTAAATGAAATTCGAAAACTCCAAAAATGATAAAAAAGAGAGATGTTCACCTTTTACGAGAGGGTGTGGGAACCTCTTCCCAAATTATATTGTGGGCATTGCTGTTAGAGGCATCACCAGAAGATGTCTTTCCCATGTTCTCTGAGGTGTCCAGGTGCAACTCTTCATGAACTGAATTCATCGGTTGTGAAGAGGCTTCACAAGAGTCTTTCTCTTCACACAACTTCCCCTTGTTTCCTATCAAAGTGCTAGGCTTGTTTGGGCTCCTACTTTTTATTTCCAAACTAGATATGTTGATGCCTGCCTAATGTACATAACATAAACATTTGCACAGGAAAAAAATATATTTAAGGAACACAATAAGATATTCACCTCTTTATCCGCTCCAAATGAAGACATGAAATCAGCCACTGATACTTTAACTCTACTGAGGTCACTACGCAAACCTACAAGAAGTTAGGAAATGCATATCTGAACAACAAAGAAATCAATCATGAAAAAACAACCATATAGAAAGAAAGGGGCAAAGGGTATACAGATGGTAAAAACAACTTGGTCAGCAAAAAAAACAATGTTATCCAAACTGCTCAAAACTCAATCAGCATACTGCTTTTCAACCTTCCACACTTCAACAAGTAGTTGGATTTGTGGATGGTGGAAAAGATAAAAGCACGCACAACATTCAGATTTTCTTCATACTTGGTCCATACACCGGCGATAATTTATCTTCATTGTATCTAGTCACATGACCATAACAGTGAGTCAAAAGTGTCAATTTCCAACTTCACAGATATGAATTCATTGTGATTGTAAGCGCAGATTTTTTTTTTCTTTTACAACATTGTTTCGGCTATCATATAGCTTTCGATATCCATTTGCTTTAACCCAGTTATTTTAACAATTTCTAATCTTCTAGATTCAATCATTTGAAAAGCTATATAAAAAATCTTACAATGTCAGGATTATTCAGTTACATCAAACGTTGAAGAGAAAGGTTAATCAATTAACCAAAAGATGAATAGTCACTTATTTAGTCTGTTCGGCTGGTGATTTCTGTGGCTGATAAGTCGGCTGATGCTGTTTTGTTGTGAGAGAAAAACACTGTACCATGGCTGATAAGCCATGCTGATAAGTTCAAGCGAACAGGTCCAAGTCCCTCAAGTACAACATGAGAGCCCTCAATGAAAATTTTATTATTTCATTGGCTATGCAAACTTGCATTGCATTTTCCATGTTAGTTTTGTGAAATTACAGTGTTTATGTTTTATTTAAAGGGTTAAGAACAAGAATGCTACATATTATATTAAGGAAAGAAATGCACATGAAAAGATGCCCTAAAGAAGTTACATATAAACAGAGTAGAGTGATAGTTACAAATAAAATAGTGAGAAAAAAATATAAAGCCCCAAACTAACATAAACAGACAACACTGGAACTGCAATAAACAACATCATTAACTGTAGAATGTGAAAAAACATAGAAAGGATAATCATCATTCATTCAATATTGATATAATGCACTGAATATTCGTAAATGCAAACATGAAAGTATGTAACCCTGCATTTTACTATTTGAGAGTATGTAATCATGTTATGAACAATGAATTTCTACAAGATGGTATTTTGAAACTCCCAAGTATAGAAAGTTGCTAAAACGATATTGCATCAGTAACGTACCAGATGATTCAATACACCTCGATTGGACTCTCCTTTCACATGCTTCATTACCCTGCAAGAAAGAATTCCAGAACAAGGCTTACCAGGCACGCAAATCCACTTACCAAACCTTTACTATATTGTACAATTATCACATAGCATCTGCTGGGCACAATTTCAGCTACATATGCTAGGCATTACCAGACAGTAAGACAAATTGATCATATACTCTAGCAAGCTCTAATTTTGATTTCAGATTCTTTGTGCACGTCCAAGATTGCATAGCATCTTTGTGTCACTTCTGCTTAGACTTCAAACGGCTTGCAGGCATTTCGTTGAATAGGACCTTGAAGTGAAGCACAACTCTCCACCTCCTCCCCCAATTCATCCCCCACAAAGTTTTTACACCAGCTTGGAGCACCCAGAAAATAGAACCTCTACTCTTAATACCTCCGCCCACGAAGACAGAAACAGGAAAGAATAAGAGCGACTCACCGGCGCTCGTGCCCCGTCACCTCGGGCCTGGCGGCGGTCTTGCTCCCGGTGGATAGCATCGAGTGTGGCGCGCAGCTTCCTGCCGCGGTCAGGGAGGCGTTCTGACGTGCCTTCGGTGAGCAGGCCCTGGAGGCGCTGCGCCTTCTCCCGCAGCGATTGATCCGACAGCTGCTGCGCTATCACCTCGGCATCAGCCCTCTCCGCCTCCTCCTTTTCTTCGTCACCGGACCCCACCTCGCCGCAGTGGAGCTTCTCCGGCGAAGCCGCGGCCATCGGCATTCACCCGGGGCGCGGCTTCGCCTCTTACCAGGCGGAGGCGGAGAAATTGTGGGAGACAGCTGGAGTCCTTTTTTTTTTTTTAGGGCATGATGCCTAGATTTAGTCAGCTAAAGCTTAGGTGGATGTAGCTATTTGTAACCCAGCTAAGAGCATCTTCGATAGGAGGAGAAAATTTTAACCTAAAAGAAGGTCAGTTATTAGGGGAGATATAAAATGTGTTTTGAAATTTTAAAGGTCTTCTCTCTAGCAGAACGAGAAAATCTAATTTCTAATGAAAAAAAATAATGGATTGAGTGAGGAGAGATCCCCTTTTATTTGACGAGTGGGAGGCTATGATATAAGAGACTAAGCAATTTTTTTTCTCATTGGAGTTGTATTTGGGAACTGCTGGAGCTACAAGATCTTTAAAATAACAGATTTTCCTCTTTCAAGTTAGGAAAGGGGACTGCTGGAGATGCTCTAAAGCTAACAAAATTTTAACTGAGTCTATTAGCTGGAGCATCCAAACAACCTAGCTAAAGTTTAGTTATGAAACTTTTCGTCCCTATTTGATACAAAGTATGTTTGAAGTATCGAAGAAATACTATGGTTTTACAAATTACTTTGGTTTTTAAAAGCTACTGAATGTATAGATGCAACAAATCTTGTAGTACCTAAAACTATGATTTTATCAAAACTGTAGTTCTTTTAGAGTTTTAGAAACTCCTATTACGACTTCTTTTTTCTAAACCATGGTTTTGTGTCTATTTAGCTTATAAAACCACAGTTTCGTGATACTACAGTTTTTAAAAACCGCATCATCCAAACAGACCCTTAACTGGTTTTAGCTATCTAAACTTTAGTTGGGTGCGTCCAAATAAGCCCTTATTTAAAACCATCCCAACAACAACAAAGCCTTTAAGTCCCAAACAAGTTAGGGTAGCCTAGAGTTGAAACCCAGCAGAAACTATCAAGATTCAGCCACGTGAATAGTTGTTTTCCAAGCACTCCTATCTAAGGCTAAGTCATTGGGTATATTCCATCTTTTCAAGTCTCATTTACATCTACCCAAGTTAACTTCGGTCTTCCTCTGCCTCTCTTCACGTTACTATCATGGCTTAGGATTTCACTACGCACCGATGCCTCGGGAGGTCTCCGTTGGACATGTCCAAACCATCTCAACCGGTGTTGTACAAGCTTTTTTTTAATTGGTGCTACCCCTAATCTATCACGTATATCATCGTTCCAAACTCGATCCCTTCTTGTATGACCGTAAATCCAACGCAACATACGCATTTCCGCGACACTTATTTGTTGAACATATCGTCTTTTCGTATGCCAATATTCTGCACCATACAACATAGTAGGTCTAATCGCCGTCCTATAAAACTTGCCTTTTAGCTTCTGTGGTACCCTTTTGTCACATAGGACACTAGATGCTTGGCGCCACTTCATCCACCCTGCTTTGATTCTATGGCTAACATCTTCATCAATATCCCCATCTCTCTGTAGCATTGATCATAAATATCGAAAGGTATCCTTCCTAGGCACTACTTGACCTTTCAAACTAATATCTTCCTCATCCCGAGTAGTAGCGCTAAAGTCACATCTCATATACTCAGTTTTAGTTCTACTGTGTCTAAAACCTTTGGACTCCAAAGTCTCCCGCCATAACTCCAGTTTCTGATTCACTCATGTCCGACTTTCATCAACTAGCACTACATCGTCCATGAAAAGCATACACAAAGGATGTCCCCTTGTATGTCCCTTGTGACCTCATCCATCACTAAGATAAACAGATAAGGGCTCAAAGCTGACCCTTGATGTAGTACTATCCTAATCAGGAAGTCATCTATGTCTCCATCACTTGTTCGAACACTAGTCACAACATTGTTGTACATGCCCTTAATGAGCCCGATGTACTTTGTTGGGACTTTATGTTTGTTTAAAGCCCACCACATAATATTTCTTGATATTTTATCATAAGCCTTCTCCAAGTCAATAAAACCATGTGTAAGTCCTTCTTCTCTCTATACCGCTTCATAACTTATCTTATTAAGAAAATGGCTTCCATAGTTGACCTTCCGGGTATGAAACCAAATTGGTTCATAGAGACCCGCGTTATTGCTCTCAAGCGATGCTCGATAACTCTCTCTCATAGCTTCATAGTATGGCTCATCAACTTAATTCTCCGGTAATTAGCAAAACTTTGAATATCCCCTTTATTCTTGTAGATCGGTACCAATATATTTCTCCTTCACTCGTCATGTATCTTGTTTGATCAAAAAATATGGTTAAACAGCTTGGTTAGCCATACTATAGCTATGTTCCCGAGACATCTCCACACCTTGATTGGAATACTATCTGGTCTCATCGCCTTACCTCCTTTCATCCTTTTCAACGCCTCTCTGACCTTAGATTCTTGGATTCTCCACACAAAGCGTCTATTAGTGTCATCAAAAGAGTCATCCAACTAAAAAATTGTGTCCGTATTCACACCATTGAACAATTTGTCAAAATACTCTTGCCATCGATGTTGGATCTCATCCTCCTTCACCATGAGATGCTACTTTTTATTCTTAATGCACTTAACTTGGTTGAAGTTCCTTGTCTTTCTCTCACGAACCCTAACCATCCTATAAATATCCTTCTCTCCTTCCTTCGTACCCAAATGTTGGTAAAGATCCTCGTACGCTCTACCCTTTGTCACACTTACAGCTCGCTTTGCAGTCTTCTTTGCCACCTTGTACTTCTCTATGTTGTCCACACTCCTGTCATGGTACAAGCGTCTATAGCATTCTTTCTTCTCCTTAATAGTCCTTTGTACTTTCTCATTCCACCACTAAGTATCTTTAGCTTCGCCTCCACTTTCTTTGGTTACTCCACACACCTCTGAGGTCACCTTCCGAATGTTGGTTGCCATCTTCTCCCACATGTTGTTTATGTCATCTTCTTCCTTCAAAGAGCCATCTTTGATAACCATTTCCCTGAATACTTCTGACGTCTCCCCTTTTAGTTTTCACCACTTTGTTCTTTTAATCTTAGCTTGTTTATCCCTACGGGCACGCACCTGAAAACAAAAGTCTACCACCAAAAGCTTATGTTGAGAAACAACACACTCACTTGTATCACCTTGCAACCCAAGCATGCTCGTTTGTCCTTTCTTCTTGCGAGGACAAAGTCAATCTGGCTAGAGTGTTGTCCGCTACTGAAGGTCACTAGATGAGATTCTCTCTTTTTTTAAAGAAAGTGTTGGCTATCATCAGGTCAAAAGCTACCGCAAAGTCCAGAACTTTCTCCCCCTCCTGATTCCTACTACCATACCCAAAACCTCTATGAACTGCCTCGAAACCTACGCTTGTAGTACCTACATGCCCTTTAAGATCTCCTCCTATAAAAAGCTTCTCACTACTAGGTACAGCTCTAATCAGACCATCTAAGTCTTCCTAGAACTGTCTCTTAGCACTCTCGTAGAGGCCTACTTGGGGGGAAAACGCACTAATTACGTTCAAGACCATATCACCAATGACATGCTTGATTAAGATAATCCTATCAACTTGCCTTCGCACTCCCACCACACTATTCTTGAGGCCTTTATCAATCAAAACTCCTACTTCATTTCTATTCACGACTGTTCCTGTGTACCAAAGCTTGAAGTCTGTATTGTCCACCTCCTTCGCCTTCTGACCCTTCCATTTAGTCTCTTGAATGCATAATATATTTACACGCCTCCTAGTCGCGGTATCAACTAATTCTCTTAACTTACCTATAAACGACCCTACATTCCAACTACCTAAACGGATCCTAGTTGGTTCGACTAGCTTCCTTACCCTTCGCACCCGTCGACTCAGATGTGAAGACCCTTGCTCATTTTTACTACACCAGGGCGCCGATGTAGCGCGCCACTAAGGATGCGACGACCCGATCCTTGCTACTTGACACCATGCCTAGATCGCGACATGGCGCGTCATGGGGGTGATGACCCGGCCCTTGCTCATTTAACACCATACCCGGGTTTCGATATGGCGCGTTGCTAAGAGGGTTACGCCCCAACGGTTTTCTTTTGGGTTTCATCTCCATTAGAATGGCTAGGTTTAATGTTGGCTCGCCATGTCTATCACAACCCTCCTCCTTTACCAGGGCTTGGGACCTGCTATGTTGAGACAACATAGGCGGAGTTTGAAACAATCCCATTATTTATAATTACAACGGTTCTAAGAGCATCACCAATAGTTCAGAAAGCCACTCTCAATCTTGATCTTTTTTAGTAAGATTAAAAAAATACTCTCCATCCACTTCCAATCTTTCCGCGCTGGGCAAAGCCTATCCAATCACGTGCAAATATACGCATGCGTATCGATCGACCAATCTGAAGATAGAAGGATGTGTGCAAGAATAAGTAGGACAAAATTCTTAATGTCAGTGTACAGGAGACAAAGAAAGAATAAAAGTAATTGGAGTGATTTGAAAATAGTGTAGGATTTTTGAAGTAAAATTATCTTTATATTTTTATGGGCGTGAGATTTTAAAACTCATTGAAGAAACCTAACAAATATACTTCTAAATATTTTAGGCTCTTGGAAAACTGATTGATTTACCAATTAAGTTTTTAGAAACTATTGGAGATGCTCTAAGATAACTATTATTTATCATAGAGTTAAATACACCAGCTGGCCCTTGAGCTTGTATGCCTGTGCCACATAGGTCCATGAACTTGCAAAATGTATTTCTGGGTCCCTAAACTTGTTAAGCGGTGCACCGTAGGCTCATGCTAGCCACGTAGACATTTTTTTCTGACGTGGCACGCTAGCATGGCATGTAGACCTTGGTCGTAGGCTACTCCATGCCCCTCGCCCAAGCCTCCCGACACCGCAGTTGCCGCGTAAGCTCCTCCGCTGCCGACTGGAGCATGGCCGCCGTAGCTAGCCAGGTCACCTGTCCTCGGCCCGCCGGTCGCCGACGTAGGGGGCGCGCGGAGCTAGCCGCCACCCACGTGCACGGAGGTCGCGCGAGGG